TATGACTATTTTTAGCAGAATGAACTATTTTCAAACAACTCTGCAAAATAGCATTATCTTGATAGATTCAGTTTAGGTAAGGACCTGTTATTGAAAATACCACTATTAAAGGTAGATGTTTTCACTACCATCTAATTCTTTACTGTCAGAAGATACAGCTTCTCTACTCCTGCCTACTTTTCCCATGTAGTAATTAGCTTTGAGGTAGGGATTGGGGGACTTTTGTTTTATTCATTTTGTTTGCAAAATGGAGTGTTACAAAGCAAGCCCACTCTCTTGCTAGGTATAACATCACATCATATCTTCATATATCTAACATTATAAGTGATCATTAGCCTAGGAGAGCTGAATTAGGAAATGCACTTCTCCCACCCATACCCCTTAGCAGAAAGGTTTATTAAAATCTTTCCTAAGAAAAGAATTACTTTATGGTATACAGTTTGCAAAGTTTGCACATCATCACATATGTAAAATGTGAGTCAAACAACTATTTTTATAGTCTTTAAAATGTAGGCAAGTTATTTTCTCCTAGCTTCAGTTTCTGCATGCATACCATGATGATAATGTTGTTTTAGGATTATCAAGAGGATTAAATTAGGATTATCAAGAGGATTATCAAGAGGATTAAATTAGATTAAGTGTCTCAAATACCCCATTTATTAGGAGTGTAGTAATAATAAAACTATCTTTTTTTTTTTTTTTAATTAAGCTCTCCTGGTGCATTTCAAGTATTACTCATGCCTAAATGTTCAATTTATGCATAACTATTCAAAATATACCTTTGTCTTTTTAGGAGTTAGTTATTATGTACATGTTGAACTCTTGTTTTTAGACTTTTCACTCTCTATTTGTAGTTAAGATCATAATTTTTTACAAGTTAATTGTCAATCTTTTTTAAGTTTTCTGTATTTTTATGTATGGCAGTTTTATTTCCTCAAACTAGCACTAAATTTATCATAAAAAATACAGAAGAACACAAGTATTTTAGAAAGAGAATGATTGCATATTCCATATTTTTAAGATGGAATGGCTTGTTTCTTCAGGAATGCCCATGGCTTTCTCCTAAATGCATTTTAAATATCATCTCTGTCCCTCAGCACAGAATGCCCCCCTGCTTTTCATACAGCGAGCTCCTGTCTTTCTGTGACACACCTGTGAGAGGCTTCTTCCTCCTGGGTCTTTCTCAGAGTTGCCCAGGCAGACTCTGTTGCTTGGCCATTCCAAAGCCACTCAAAGGATTAGCTAAGAAAGTTGTATTCTTTTTCCATTGCTGCCATGAATACCACCAATTTTGCAGTTTAAATCAGCACCTATTTATTTATCATCTTTAAAATGAAGTCAGAAGTCCAGGTACAGTCTGGCTCTACTGGCTCCTCTGCTTAGAATTTCATAGGGCCAAAGTCAAGGTGTCTTCAAGGTTGCCTTCTCTCCTGGTCCCTGAGGGTGTATCTGCTTCCCGGCTCGTTGAGGCTGTTGGCCAAATCCAATTCATTGTGGCTGCAGGAGTGTTGCCCACTTCCCTGCTGGCTGGCCTTTGCTCCTCGGTGCCGCCTGAGCCCTGCCCATGCTTTCCACATGGTCCTTCCAGCACCTGCAGATCAAGTCTCTCTCACACTTCACATCTCTCTGATTTCACCTTCTGCCCTATATTTCTGACTTCAGTAGGAGAAGGTTCTCTGCTTTTATGGGCTCATGGGATTAGATGGGCGCTGCTTGGATAATCCAGCATCCTCTCCCTGTTTTGTGGTCTGTGACCTGTTTCAGGTTCCAGGACATCTTTGGGGGCCATCCTGCCTACCATAAAGGTTCCTAGTGCTTGTAGTCTGGAGTGGCTGCGTGGGTCCAAACTCCAGTCTGCCCCTTACTGTTGATATCACTTTTGGTAAGTTACTTTACCTCTCTCCTGTGCTTCATAGTTCTCATAGTTCTCATATGTAAATGGGGTTAATAGTTGTAGCTTCACCATAGAGTTTTTATGATAGCAGTGAAGGGCAACAACAGTCTTAGACAGAGTCAATGCATTCCTTTCATGGGGCTCAGGATCCGCCAGACTCCACACGGACAGCCCTGCAAAGCGAGCTCCTCAGCTTTTAGCCCATTGAGGAGCAAGCTTTCAGGGCCTTCTAATCCACACAGTGCCCCACTGATGATACTCCCTAATCAAAGAACGGGTCTCTTGGGTCCACCGGGAAGCCCCCTAACGGACTCACAGTGACTGTCGATGCCTTTCCATCTCGTCTCCACCCTCCTGAATGCCCCAGCTACACACTTGCCTGCCTTTGTGAGCGGGCATCTGGTAACAATCCCAGTAAACTGAATGCCTTACACAAGGGTGAAGTAAGATTGTCTTCAGATATCAGTCTGTATACATTTATATATTTTCTTGAATATACTATATTGCATATTGCTAGTCAGGCATTTATTATATGGAATCATGATTATTTTTACATTTGGCTCATTAGGCGAGGGACATTTTGGGGAGTACCCAATCTTATTCAGCTTTGTGTCCCAGTAACAGTGCCTGGTACATGAAAAGCATTAACTATTTGTTTTTCAAAAGAATAACTAATATTATACTCAAGATTTGCTAATCATCTACATTTTATTTCTTCCTCACCTATTTCAAAGGTATCTGAAAGTTAGAAAAATATATATAGTGCTGGGTATTTTATCATATATGAATTTGTTAATATGCCAATTATGTTTGCTCTGCTTTATGCCGAGATAAAGAAAATTTTATCCTTTATCTTCAGTAACGGTTGTTAGTGTTGATATTATCTAAAATATTTGTAAAATTGTAAAAATTTGTAAAATCTACCTTTTTTTTATATGCAATATAAAATGTAGCTTATGAATATACTGATCTGAACCCTTACCTTCTCTAAAATCTAGAGTTGAGGCAGAGAGGTACAGAATATGTGAATATGTTCTAGCAAATGACAAATTAGGAAATAAATTATTCCCCTCAATTGTTCCTGTGATGTACATTGAAAAAACATCACGAATACAAAGAAAGTTAATTTCTTGAAACGTTTTTCAAGAATATAACTGGTGTAATTTGTATGCTTCAGTATCACCCAGTGTCTGTCTGCCATCTGTTTATCTTTCCCTTCCTCTTTCTCTCTCCTTCCCCTATTCCCCCTTCCCCCTCCTCTTCTGTCTCTCCTTCCCACCCTACCCTCCCCAGGAAAAAAGCTTTTTTATTTGATTCTAAGATTTATTACCATGAAAACATGTGAGGAAGAGAAATAAATCTTGCCATAAATGTGCGTTGTGCGTCATTTGGAATAATAGATGCAGTGACACCTCACAAGGCGTTTTACAACCAGTGATTAATATCTACTCCAATATATTTCTGCTTTATAATACACTTGGGCATTCTTGTTTGGGAAAATTGTCTACCCACCATGTAGGAAAAGAACATTTTCTTCCCAATTGCAGTGTAATTGCTAAAAATCAATTTCAGAGTCAAGAGATAAAACCTCCAAAGTTCTTTAACTGCTCCTGCTGTTTCTGGGCTATGTGGCAGGTACATATTTCTATTCATATAGTATGAATGAGTGAAGGCTGTAAGTCCTGCATATCCAAAGGTAAAATGTAAATATAGAATCAAGCAAAAAATTTCACAATAAGCAGAGAATGCGCAGCCCAGGAACTTTAGAAGTAGACAGTCTAGTCAGAGTTTCAAGAGCTTTGTCTCTCATTGTCATGAGACCTCAAGTAAGCCTCGGTTTTCTTACCTAAAAAATGGAATGATGTGAAGATTATTTGAAATATGTAAAGCACTTAGTGCCAAGTACATAGTAAGTGCTCAATAATTGTTAGTTATCTTTATAATACCATTATTGCCAGGTGCAATGGCTCACTCCTGTAATCCTAGCACTTTGAGAGGCCAAGGTGGGTGGATCACTTGAGGCCGGGAGTTCAAGACCATCCTGCCCAACATGGGGAAACCCTGTCCCTACTGAAAATACAAAAATTAGCCGAATGTGGTGGTGCATGCCTATAATCCTAGCTACCAGGAGGCTGAGGCACAAGAATCACTTGAACCCAGGAGGTAGGAGGTTGCAGTGAGCTGAGATCGCGCCACTGCACTCTAGCCTGGGTGACAGAGTGAGACTCAGCCTCAAAAAAAGAAAGGAAAAAAGAAGTGTGTGCGCATATATATATATTCACATGTGTATATGTGTGTGTGTGTGTGTATATAAATAAAATACCATTATTAAATGAGACAAACCAGTTAAAATTTCTCCTGGTACAGTAATCTCCATCAAATGTGAATAGAATTAGAGCATAATAAATGTTTTTTGTACATGAGAATTTTGTTCCAGTATAAACAAATTAGAAGCCTCTTTTATGAGAAATAGGAAAAGGGGAACCAGAAAAAGTACCTTATGGCAAAGGGCAGAGAAATTAATGGTTTTTGCAATGAAATTTTGGCAAATATTAAAGGGAATTGGAGAAAGCAATCATAAGTCTTAAAAATATACTCCAGTAGCATTTATGAGGAGTGAAGGGTTAGTAGTATATGCTTTGGAATTAGGTTATCATGATAGAGCTAAGACTGCATATGAGTGTGCATTAGGCCTGGAAAACTCAACTTAGAGGTACTTTAATCAGCAGGCAGAAGGGGAGAAAAGTTAGGGAAGTTCTTTCTTTTTTATCATGAAAAATAAGAACCTCCCAGGACCTCCTAGAAGACTTTCATTTAGGTCTCATTGGTCAGAACTGTGTCATGTGGCCACCCTTGTGCATAACAGGGCCTGGAAAATCAAGCGTCTCTTCTGGGGCTGGATGCCCTGCTGTTCTGAATATAATCAGATTTCTGTTAACAGGCAGGAAGGGTATGGGGACTAGATATGGGCCAGGAACTATCTTATGGGTTCTGCTACCACAGTTATTTAAGAGGTATCCCCATTTATTCCTTCTTATGCAAATGATTCTGCATCTCTTTGATTACAGTAGAAACCAAAGGTCAAGACACAGGAGGTGTAAGTTACTAACCTGGAGTCAAAAAGTTTTTAAGAAGTTGGATGGAAAACCATACGATTACTCTTTTTGGTGCATTCATTAACAGAAGCAAAGTTAAATACATTTACAAAAACATCACCAAAACCATAGGGAATGGCAAATCCAGAAAGCATTGCTAGTAAGTAAAGATTGTTAAGTGCATGTGTTTGTCTAGTTAACTCATAATATCACCTTTAAAGTGGGTGAAATATTGATACTGTGTTTTTTGGTGTGCCATCTTTATCAAATTTATTTCAGTGAGCATAATTATAAAGATTTTCATGAAGCTCTCCTTGGCCTTAGATTTCTAACTCAGCTTTCACTATAAGGGAAGGTATTTTACCACCATGGATGAGTAGAAATTATTGTAATTTACTTATTACTTTGAATAACATTTAATGAAAAGATACAATTTTGAAAGCTAATGCTATATTTTAGTCACTTAATAGAATTTGTTGTCTTGCCTACCTATTTTAGTCTTTGGCAACTAATAAATATAATGTCAAAGGGGAAAGTCGTATTCAGTACCTATATTATAGCAAAAATATATACTTGTAATTATGCATGTTTAAATCCTCTTGGGCACAATTGGTTAGTCTCAAAATAGATTTTCCCATCTCTGAATGCTCAGCTATTACTTTCAGTGACTTAAAAATGTGGACACGGATGGGGGTTTTATGGTATATAATATGCAGTTGGAGTGTAACAAAAGAAAGTATGTATACTGGGGTGTTTTTTTTTAACTTAAAAAGTGTTTTAGGGGATTTACACTTTAATGATGGGCTAAGACCCTGCCGGAGGATGCCCTGTATAAAACAAGTATAAGACTGGGATATAATATAAAAAGCAGCTGCTCAAAGGCACTGGAGAATAAGCAGACCACAGTGTAATTGCCTTTTTGTATTATGTCCAGGTTCTATAGAATATGTTACAGTGCATGATTGGAGGAGGAGGGAGGTTCTATAGAGTATGTTACAGTACATGATTGGAGGAGTGAATTTCTTTTTTTGTTTTTTTTTTTGAGATGGTGTTTCACTCTTTTTTGCCCAGGTTGGAGTGCAGTGGCGCCATCTTGGCTCACTGCAACCTCTGCCTTCCGGGTGCAAGTGATTCTTCTGCCTCAGCTTCCTGAGTAGCTGGGATTACAGGTGTGTGCCACCATGCCCGGCTAATTTTGTATTTTTAGTAGAGATGGGGTTTCACCATGTTGGCCAGGCTGTTCCTGAACTCCTGAGCTCAGGTGATCCACCCACCTCGGACTCCCAAAGTGCTGAGATTACAGGCATGAGCCACCATGCCCTGGCGGAAGAGTGAATTTCTATAGGGCATGTTTTTGTTTTGTTTTGTTTTGATTTGATTTTTGTTTTTTGTTTTTAGACGGAGTCTCACTCTGTCGCCCAGGCTGGAGTGCAGTGGCTGGATCTCGGCTCACTGCAAGCTCCGCCTCCCGGGTTCACGCCATTCTCCTGCCTCAGCCTCCTGAGTAGCTGGGACTACAGGCGCCTGCCACTACGCCCGGCTAATTTTGTTTTTGTATTTTTAATAGAGACAGGGTTTCACTGTGTTAGCCAGGATGGTCTCGATCTCCTGACCTCGTGATCCGTCCGCCTCGGCCTCCCTAAGTGCTGGGATTACAGGTGTGAGCCACCATGCCTGACCTCTATAGGTTATATTATAGTGCATTCCCTGTGAAAGAAATTTCTGTGTCCATGTCTTTTATCCTGGAGCCAAGTTTCATTTACGTGGTGCACTCAGTGGTGGCAGGGTGTGCCTGTGGGAAAAACACATTTTGAGGGAACCAGAAATCTAAGATGGAATAACTGGCTGATAAGATAATGGGGAAAGGGAATGAGCCAGAGGAGGGATCCCAAAATCTTGTCTGTGTATATATCCAATCAAATTCTGAACAACCCATGTCTGGAACAGACACAAAGAAGCTTAGCTAAAGACTAAAGCTAAGAATTGAGAGGAGAGCTGCTGCCCCAGAAACATAATTTGCAATTCAATACAAGCAAGAAAACAGTGTACAAATTAATATTCCAGATGCAGGGCAAAGTTACCTGCTCTCTGTAGAACCAGGATCGTAGTGTAAGAGAGAAAAATTGTTTTTCCTCTTACCCCTCGGAGTTCTTAGCTGGGACAGACCCCTGTAATAAAAGACAAATTAAGAAGAGAAAAACAAATGAGTGTTTTAATGTGTGTATTTCATATGCACGTAGGACATACCCAGGGAATGAGTGAATCTCACAGAGATGGCTTAGAAACCCAGCTTATATCTCATCTTCAGCGAAGAGCAGTGCGTTTTTAGAGCAGTGACAAGACAAAGGACAGGGACTTTTAGTGTCTGGGATGCAAATCATAGAATGGCAAACAAATGGGGTTTGTAATGTAGAATTCTGTGGTGCCTTCTTCAGGCTGATGCCTTCCAAAGATTTCTTCCCTGGTTGGGAGCGAAGGAGGGACACAGTTTTTAAGTCCTGCTTTTAGGCAGATGGGGGAGGGGAGAGAGCTATTCTGACGTCTACTTCTCAGTTGTCTTCAACTCAAATTCATCCTTATGTCAAAAATGCATGATTTCGAGGTGGCATATTCTGCTTTTCTACATAAAAGACACATTTTCAAAAGAAAAGAACATTAACTGGGTCCAATCCTGAAAAGAACCAGGTAGTGAAACTAGTATGCAACGATTTTAAACTGACTACTGTAACTCTCCTCCATGAAATAAAACAAAATATGCTTTCAATTCATGAAAAATGAGGAAATCTCAGTAGGGAAGTAAAAACCATTAAAAAAGAGTCTCATGGGTATTTTAGAACTGATAAATACAGTGTATGACAGTTAAAAGTTACTGCATGGCCTTAGCAGGGGAATGAGAAGACTGTCAGTGCCCTGTGAGTTCTGCTTGCCCGCTGCCCACACAGAGCTGCCTTATCAAGACGGGAATCACAACGCAAAGTGTAATTCACACAAAGCCAGCTGAACTGGTGACCGGAGTTTTTTACTCAAGCCAGTCTCCCTGAAAACCTGGACTGGGGTTTTTAAAGGATAATTTGGTGGGTGGGGGCAAGGGAGTGGGAGTGCTGATTGGTCGGATCCTAGATGAAATCTTAGGGGGTCACAGTGGGTTCTTCTTCTTGTCTTCTGTTCCTGGGTGGGATCACAGAACCGGTTGAGCCCGATTACCAGTCTGGATGGCACCAGCTGGTGCATCAGAATGCAGAATGCAGGGTCTGAAAATATATCTTGAGCACCATTCTTAGGTTTTACAGTAGTGATGTTATCCTGAGGAGCAATTGGGGAGGTTTGGAATCTTGTGGCCTCTGGTTCATGACTCCGACACCATAATTTCTAATGTTGTGGCTAATTTGTTAGTTTTACAAAGGCATTCTGGTCCCCAGGCAAGAAGGGAGTTTGTTTTGGGAAAGGGCTGTTATCTTTGTTTCAAAGTTAAACGGTAAATTAAATTCCTCTTGGCCAGCACAGTGGCTGATGCCTGTAATCCCAGCACTTTGGGAGGCCGAGGTGGGCGGATCACTTGAGGTCGGGAATTCCAGACCAGCCTGGCCAACATGGCAAAACCCTGTCTCTACTAAAAATACAAAAAATTAGTGGGACATGGTGGTGATACAGCTCTGATGACTGGAGGAACACCAGGGTCCTTTATTTCTCGCTGATTTAGATAAAATGACACAGACACATGTGGAGTGGTTTTAAGGAGTAGAGAGTTTAATAGGCAAGAAAGAAGGAAGACGCTCTTCCTTACAGAGACAGAGGGAGGGGGGCTGCAAGCAGAGAGAGGAAACCCCATGTGTGGTGGGTGAGGAGGAATGGTCAGTTATATTGGGAGGCTAAAGGAGGCAGTGTCTGATTTTACTTAGGGCCCAGGGGATTGATTTGACTAGGTATGTCATTCACGTAGCCCTCGAAATAATTGACCCTCCCATCCTAGCATTTTAATGTGCAGTGTGAGCCACTATGATGTCCTGCACAGGTGGAGATACCTGGGAGTGGCCAGGTTGGGCAGACCTAGTTTTAATCCACGTTATCATATCAATACTTGCCAGCCTGGCCCTTCAAGCTGTTTTTCTGCTAGAAAAGAAACGTTTCTGGAGTTGCTTTTATTACAAGAAAAAAAAACTTTACCAAGGACCTTTTATGCTCTCTATCTGCCTAAAATAATTTCTTTTTTTTTTTTTTTTTTGAGACGGAGTCTTACTCTGTCACCCAGGCTGGAGTGCAGTGGTGCAATCACGGCTCATTGCAACCTCTGCCTCCTGGGTTCCCACCATTCTCCTGCCTCAGCCTCCTGAGTAGCTGGGACTACAGGCACCCGCCACCACGCCCAGCTACTTTTTGTATTTTTAGTAGAGACGGGGTTTCACCATGTTGGCCAGCGTGGTCTCGATCTCTTGACCTCCTGATCCGCCCACCTCGGCCTCCCAAAGTGCTGGGATTACAGGCATGAGCCACCGTGCCCAGCCTAATAATTTCTTAATAACTCCTATAATAGTGGCACATGCCTGTAATTCCAGCTACTGGGGAGGCTGAGGCAGGAGAATCACTTGAACCTGGGAGGCAGAGTTTACAGTGAGCCCAGATAGTGCCATTGCACTCCGTCCTGGGCAAGAGAGTGAGACTCCATCTCTCTCTCTCTCTCTCTCTCTCTATATATATATATATGTGTGTGTGTGTGTGTACACATATATAAAATAAAATAAATTCCTCTCAAAGTTAGTTCAGCCAACACCCAGGAATGAACAAGGACAGCTTGGAGGTTAGAAGCAAGATAGAGTCTCTTAGGTCAGATCTCTTTCACTGTCATGATTTTCTCACTGTTACAATTTTTGCAGGGGGTGGTTTCAAGACAGAGGAAAGAGAATTAGTAATTTGTAAACTTGAAAATAGATCAATAGAAATTATCCAGTGTGCAAAATAGAAAAAAAAGAATGAAGGGAAAAAGAAAGGCAGAGTTTTACGGACCTGTTAAATTACATCAAACCGTCCAGCTGTTGGTAATTGGAATCGTAGAAGGGAAGCAGAGGAAGAGTGGGACAGAAAAAGTATTTGAAGAAATAATGGTTTAGGATTTTACACATTCAATGAAAGATAGAAATTTGTAGATGTAGGATGCGCCTCAAA